TCAATTAAGTTAATTAGTTTGAGTACGTTTCTTTTTGGTTTCACAAGAGAATAGACGCTTACACTACCTTTCCTTATAGTATAAAGATTAATAGCCAGCTAATAATATGTAGGTCAGCTGAGGTGAATTTTGGGTGACTAATCAGGGGCCTTTCGCAACGACATGCAAGTAACATTAGTGAGAACCTCATGGTGGGCGTGAATCATTCAACTTTACAATTTTAATATAAAAACGACAAAATAAAAAGAATAAAATAAGAAAGAAAGTAAGAAACAAAGGATAGATGACGAATATTCAAACTAGATCCGTACCACGAATCAGGAAACTAACAAAAGTATTCACTTGAATGACCTTCCGATCTCGACTTCAACAAAATACTGAAATCGGTATGAGGGAAATCGATCAACTTTCCGTCAAACACTGACTTTCAAAGACTGACACCTAATAATGATTTGCTTCGAACCATAAACTGAAAAAAAATCAATTCAGAGAGAGCTCAACACGTGAAGCAAATTTGCTTTGCATTGCAGCAACAGCTAAGTCTTAACGACAAGTTCTGTAGAAATTTCAGTTGAAACACTTTTCATCGACCCCCTCCCTCCCTCGGGTGAAACACAGTAAAGAACGTCAGTCGATATCGTTAACATGGCAACCAGCTATTCACTGGTGTTCTAACTCAAGACGATGACATAATCACCTAGGACGTAAACGTTGTACACTTTGAAAGTATAGGAGGCGAACGATTTGGAGAATTACACGACTAGGCCAACGAAGCGTCGATGAAAGACCGTTGGTAAAAACGGTGCATTCGACTCATTTCATAAAATTCTAACTGTATGGCTAAGGCATATCGAGACAAGCCTTGCGGAAGAAAGGTAACATGCAATGGAGCATCAGTAAGAATGAGAACGAGAGATGAGCGAAAACGTAAGGGGTTAAAATTGCGAGCCAGGACGTTAAGCAATGCAATGGGTGCGTTGTGACGACCATAGAATGGAATTGCCGTACAACTCTTATGCCTACGAAAGACATCACATAATTTTCTACGGACAGATGTGTACAAAGGCTAAAATGTCGTAATCGAACTCTCAAACTTGAGGTACAAACATTTTTTCCTCGACAGAGCTGTCGTAAAGCATATTATGCGTTATCTGATCGATTAGCAGGTGATACAGAAGCGGTCTCAGAGCAATGCTCAAAGAAAACCGGTGTCAAAGACGCAGGTAGCACGTAACTACGACTGTTTGCTATTGTTGTCAGCACAGCGGAATGAGACCGGACCACTGTCAACACGGCGAAGTGCGCGCTGGCAGACCAAACATACTGAAACTCGGTGACAGCGGTCGGAGGCGATCAGGAAACCTTAAAGCGGCTATGCAACGTCGAACCGACGAATTCTTCGGCTTACCGCACCAGTTTCCTCTGACCGACTTAGAGAACGTGCGCTGCAGCGATCATTATGAAACGGTGGTCGATTTGCCAGATCCTGATTCCTCTCAGCCTGACCCTGGTCAGTTGTGGACAGTGTCCATCGGGCGTAGTCCAGTCATGCGACTGTTCTGCCATGGCCGACGAAAACACGGTCGTGGTGAAATGCTCGAGAGCTGTGTCGCTAGAAGTGGTGATTCACAGCCTGCGTTCCTTTTCGAATCAGACCGTTTCGATCGCTTTAGAGATCTCTGACACTCCGGTTCCATTTTTACCAGCCGAAGCATTTGGAAACCTGACGATCACGAAGCTAACGATGAGCAGAAACGGCCTTAAAAACATGGACCTAATGGCGTTCGACTGTGTTTTGGTAAACACCCTGCTTGAACTCAAGCTTACGGATAATGAACTTTCCTCGTTGCCTTGCACTGGAGTACCCAGACTACGGAACCTCAGAAAACTCAGCTTGCGCAATAACAGAATATGGCGACTGCCTACTTCGACTTTAAATCTTTACGCCATCTTGGAAAACCTGGTGTCGCTCGATTTATCCGGTAATCTCGTTAGCTCAATTCCAGGTACAACTGCGATCATGCCTAAACTAGAGGAGCTAATCCTTGCTGGAAATGATCTGGTAGAGATGCCGTACAGCTTTCTCAACAGCCATCGGTCCACTCTGAAAACTCTCGACCTGGCTCACAATCAGATCAGTCAAATTTTGGCACTCGGCATCGATCTTCCGCGACTGGACTCGCTCAACCTCAGCCACAATCGAATCGCCAATTTCTCGGCATACTCACTTGCTGGTGTCCCCAGCCTAAGCGATTTGAATCTAGAAGCGAACAGACTCTCTCAGTGGAACCACCAGTTTCTTTGTGCTGTACAAATGCTACGGCAGCTGACGATCGGCCGTAATGCGATTACCAGCGTTCCTGCAGATGCTATGCGCTGTCTGCCAAATCTCCAAACTCTGGATATTAGTAATGGCAACCTGGATCGAATTTACAGTAATACTTTCCGACCAGCTGCGAAACTCCGAACAGTGTTACTGAACAACAACCATCTTTCCAGGTAACAATGAACAGTAAATAATAAACTAATTACATAGTCACAAATAGATTCAAATTCTAAAAAAAAGATATATACTACAGCACATATCGGTGGGTCACATCAGCTCTGAGTTTGACGGTAAGTTATGACATGGCCGAGTACACCATGGCAATTTAAAACACAGACTGACTAGTACGCCAATAGATTACATAGGCTACGTTCAGATGCCCAACTGTTTCGGTTTTCAAATACACAAGAAACATTTAAGCAATGCTGATTCCTGACGTGACCTGTTTCCTTCAGCATGCTTCCCAAAAAACGTATTTGCCATCATAAACGTCGCTTTTAGTCAGAAACATGGAAATATGCGAGTTGCTTGATAACCTAGGTCCTCAAAACGTGCAAACTTTGCGATATTGAAAATTTTAAAGTTTACTGCTTGAATCAGATCACCAAGACAACAGTTGCTTTTCAAGACAGGAAAAAGCATCATCGATACTACATATGTTGATGGCTAGAGGTAAAAACAAAGGAGAAAGATCAACAAAAAAATACAAGAAAAGTATATGAAACAGCAATAAGAAAGTGCGACAAGAATGTACAACATCTGAGCAAACTTTCTGCAACTGGAGGATCATCTCGAATTGATTGAAGACAGCTTCGAAGCTGCTATATAACTGCTCCAAATTCTGAAAGAGAGGCGTTCCGGTTCGGATATCTCGATTATTTTAAAGAAGACGAAGTGGAGGGAAATTGGCAAATGCCATACTAGCGGCTGTCTGAGCCGCTACGTCGAGGCTGTGAAAAACGTAACAGAATATTTCTGTATTGCAAGAGCATTGGCTGCAGATTTACGAGTGATAAACGAAACTGTGCCACTGACAGCGAGCAAGAAGTCACTCAAGTTCTGGAAGGACAAGAATGTAGCCAATAGCCCAAAGTTGCGGATACACAGGGGCCTGCGTTCTTCTCTGCGACCTGAGGATAGCAACACTTAATAGAATTGAAAATAGAAACTTCAAAATCATGGAAATGAAGATCTCAAGATCAATACCAAAAGTGAACTGGTAGGACGTGGTGACGGATGCAGCTGTTCGAGCAAGATCAGAATATATCCAATAAAACGACACACTGGTTGCAAACAAGCGATTTGGGAGGACGGGGCCATTTTCAACGAATGGAACGATAGATGTCTTTTGAAACGAGTGCCGAACGCAAAGAATGGTGGCAGGCGGCAGCCAGGTACACCTCCAACAAAATGGAAAGATCTCGCTAGAACAGACATGACACTGAAAGGACTGAACTGAAGAACGACCACGCATTTATTCAATGATCCAGGCGCAATGCCTGAACATAACCTGATGTCGTCTTTGATGCAATGAGATAAAAAGATATTAAGAAACACAGAAACATAAACAGCAACGGTCGCGATGAAGGCAATGTTGTCCTGCATTAGCTAGTCCAAATGATCCACGTTCAGCCGAAAACGATGGACCACTGTTCTTTCGTCAGTTTCGTCTCTGTCAAGTTCAAAGTGGAGAAGTTCAGCGCTGTACAAATTAATTACTTGATGATGCTGCTAATTATAAGGAGCCTGTGCAAGATGCAAAATCAGCAATGCGACAGTTAAGCAAACATACACGGCTAAAACCAAGGGAAGAGGCCTTGGCCTCATAAAATCCAAATCCCGAAAAAAACTGAATTACACAGTGTGAACGCCGAAATGACATGTCAGATTAGACTTTGCTCCCTGTATGAAATAACAGACCAACAAACATGAACAAACTGGCAAACCATTGCCGTCATTGTCACGGAACTGACCATTCAAGTAAGGTTAATAATTAAAGGAAATCAATAGTAGTACATGCTGATTTCACTCGCTGAACAGAGACGCATGCTAGCGAAAGATGCTCCTCTATATTTAAATTGCATGCTTCATATGAGGAAGAAAAACACAAGACACACCAATGAAAGGTACTAGGTCAATTACACGCAAAACGTGACTACAGTAACTTGATGATAAACTGAATAACTTTTACGATTTAGAATCGAACAAGAAACGTTTTCGGGCATGGCTGAACTATCCACTGTGCAACTGAGTGGCAACAAATTGCAAACTGTGGAGGAATTTGCGTTTTCTTCACTACCTTCACTGGTCACCCTCGATCTGAGCAATAACAAGTTGACTACCCTGAAAACCAGTGCATTTTCGAACACGCTCCAAAGTTCAGTTGGCACTGTCATCAGCCTGCAACTCTGTGGTAAGTGCAAATTACAGTACTTCTGCGATGGAGGACGATCATCAGGTGAGAAACTACACACCACTAATAGAAAACCTCAGTTTTAAAGTCTAGACATAGTTTCACTAATGATCATATGAAATTAATTTCCATCGTATGACATTTAATATAACATCATGTCAATTATGTCACACGCTAAGAAGCGATAAATATCAGGTTCAAGCCTCGCATTTCTTCGTTGATAAATAAGAACCACTCTGCGGGTACGGAAAAAGGGACTACAGACCTATGCTTGTAAATAATGTGTTCATCGAATTTGATTGTAACGTAAAGCACTCACGCTGACGGCATGGAATGGAGATGAGCACCATACCATTAACTTCATGAAAAGAAAGGCTCGAGAAGTGGTCCCGTTATGAAAATGTAACGACAATAACTACAAGCATTCATTTCTCTCTGTTATTTCACATAGTTGACATATCATACTTAATAAGCAGGTCAAGAGAGGCATGCGGCTGACCTCACAATATCTTCAAAATCACACAGACGGATGCTTCGCTTGATTTAATAAACCAAGCTGCTAAATAAAAAGGCAATTGCTTAGAACCTTCCTAAATAAGCTTCTTGTCAGCTACAGGTGTAAGACTGGAATAAAAGATTTTGTCACGTCATCAGTTCATAAGATAAATCTTTGATGCACTCTCAAACCACTTATGACCGTGGTTATTATGATTTTTAAACTTCGAGGTCCGGAGCGAAATCGAACAAGCTGTAAAAATAGATTGAGCATGAATTTAGCTTGGTTCCAGCCCATTCACTGAGTGCTGCCACCACCCAGCTCCTTCTCCTAAGAACATGCGTTTAATCCTCTGCGCGTTTCTTTCGTTCAGCTTGCAAAGGCAAGACAGATTACTGAAATCTGTACCTGATGAAAGATGACAACTAAAAGAACTTTGTCGAGTAACACCCGGTGGTGCACTCCAATGATGCATACCCATTCAAATCAGAGAGCAAGTAGCGCATAGTGTTACCCACCCATCGCCAACAGAGAGACAGCAACATTCGTTGCGCCTTTTCTTTTCTTTTTTTTGGGGGGAGGGACGGGGGAGTTTTGCGAGTGCTTATTCGGCAGTCCATTTGAGGCACCAACCCTGGTGAATGAATTTAGCAAAGTGGAGTATTATGTGAGGTTCTGACTATGGCAAGCGACGGGCAAGAATCATTAACGTAGCGCGATTACGCACCACTGCATCCTAATCCCTCATTTAAGTAGGATGGGCTTCTAGTGTCTAAAAGCACAAATGAAACCGACAAAAACAAACGAACCTGAAACACTGACTGCCGCGAACACATCAAGACAGGAATGAACGGAAATGAGAGTTACCAGTCGCTCTGAGAATCTACAAGGCTGACAAAGCTTGAACGGCAAAACCGTTAAACTGATGCTGTTGGGTGCGACTAAAACCCTATGAACCCTATACAAAGCGATGCTCAGAGTGACAGAAAAAGTTGAGTTCCTCGTGACAAGAAGGCCGCATAAAACACTTCCAATATCTTGAAATTTGCTGTATTGCTTCCATAAAAGAATATTTATGAATAAAATTTGAATTTCTTCTCCGACTGTTTCGACAAGCCAAGTCAGAACCGCTATGAACTCCTCCAACAGTTTCTCAGACCACTGATTGTGAGAGGATCTCTCATACAGCATCGTTTGAAGTAATCCGGCTCGGCCGTCCAAACTCTCTAAGACAGGTTTTCAGATCTGAGAATCTAAGGGAACGACTTAGGACTATGCTGATAAGCGTGAACAGCAATATATGAATAGAACCTATCAATTTGCATAAATACATTACCCCCAGCCTAGAAATCAAAACGACAACATCCTGGCAACATGGCGCAAATTAAACAATGGAATCGAGCCCGGTTCTAATTTCTGTAAGCCAAAAATGCAATACTTTATTTTCAGACAAAAACAGTATGACAAAGATTGCATTCCAAAAACTTTCTCATTTAAATATCATATAATGAAGTTACTGCGGTACGCATATATCTAACGTTGTAATCTTCCAACATTCGTGCATTCAAAATGAGTCAGAATCAGTCAAACCACCAAACTGCTTAAGTAGACTAGTCGAAGCCCATTAAGTTAGACATTGGTAAACGCTGAAACTCCGAAAAACGTCTAATTTGATGGTACGCTTCGAATTCCTTTAAGAATAGTTGCTCTAGAGATAATTTCATAAGGCGACTGTAATGGCGATG